CCTCCCCGCCCAGCTACCGGCAAAAGTTTTGGGGAGAAACAGGAAAACTTTTGGGAAATTCCGACCGGAATGTGTTGAAATGTAGGAAAGTTGGAGGATGGGAACGGACCCATCCTCCAACTTTCCCACATTTCAACACAGGCCCTAGCAGGGAACGATGTCGGGGAGGTCGTATTTCCTAAACACTTTTCCAGTAGCAGAACGTGTCCTGTGTACGGCACACCGTGAAGAGGCTGCACCTCCGCCTCGAACAAACGAAGGACTTTTCTGACTATGCTTTTGCATATTTTTGTAAAGTATTGTGTGTAAGTGATCTATTTTGAATAACAAGTTTTGTGAAGCCAAACAGGAGAAAATATGCAGAAAAGGCCAAAAAAGCTCAGAAGCAGTTGTCGGGTTCAGTCGAGCACGTTGCAGCGTTTCTGTGCCTTGCACAACAAAAAACAGGGTAGATGCGTGAAGTAGGAAGTCATGCCCCTACTAGATAGATGTCGCTAAGACATGGCGAGTTCTATCTTGTTTATCAGTTATTAGAGCGATTAAGTCATTCACATGAGCCGTAAGGATCGTCTTATACCACCGCTCCTTGACCCTCACCTTCGTGAGAAGGAAGGAGTTCCCAGCAAAAGAAATCGAAGCGCTGTTGCAGTCGATTGCACTTGGCCAGCCATTAATATTCGGACATCTGGGACACATTTCGTAGCTAGGAGACCATATAAGCGCCGGAAGAAACGCGCCTTCAAAAACAACCGATCCTAGTCTCTTTCCTCCTAGGAATATCTTGGACCAAAATTGTATCCGGCCAATTGTTTCCCCATATTCCACTTTAACGCTTTGAAGCAATTACTGCTTTGGCCATCGGCCTGGTTATGGGTGGTGCTTATTAGATGGTGTTACTTCTTGTGGAGATAGAGTTGAGCACCCCTCCGAAAGTTTCAGGAGCAGTCTTTTCTGTGCCCGCTCCCGCTTTGGTCATTCACAGATCTTGACCTCATTGTTCTTATGGTCTCAAGTAGTTGTCATTTTCCTGGCTGCGTTCACTTGTCCAAACTATCACCTACTTCCTGTTCGTCTTCTTGGAGCCAGTGATCGTCTTGGGAACATCGCCTGTGGGTAAATCTGTGTCAGTCTGTCTACGCCAACTCTTGCTGAACAGGCACTCGATACGACCCCTACATTGCGCACGGCGGGGATCAACCATTCGACTGTTTGTCAAAGAGCGCTCATACTTCGCGACTGGCCGCACGAATCTACCCATGAGCAGGAAGCTCAAAAAGAACTTCATAAAACCGCGAAGTTGACACATAGCTCCTCTACGGGGAGGTTTTCATAGCACGCCCTGAACAGAAGAGGCCAACAATGGAAAGATTTTCAAAAAAGCCAAATAAGACCCCTCCTCCCTAGAAACCTAACTTCCATGTGCATCACATAGCCGTGATGTACAGAGCTTGTACATCGTATGAAGACCTTGCTCCATCTTGCCGTTCACATCTTCAGGGACCGGGTCAATTTCATACCCTTCTCAGACTGTCAATTTCACACCCTTCTCAGACTGTTCCAAGGTCTTCATTGCTACGAACTATCTGGCCCACATGAAAGGACCAGAACAGCTTTCATAAAGCATCCTGGACTCGGATCGAGGGCACGACTTCCCGTGGGTGGCTCCAAAACATCTTTGGTCGCGTAGTGTTCCTGTTGACTGCTTTCACTCATAATGTGTTTATCTAGACCTCAAGTGCCTAATGGAAACTACCTTTGGATACTACATCCACCCCCGGATATGAGGTTTTTTCCGCCCTCCCAATGTGCTCACCTCTTGCTTTGGTCAATATCACTCTCGGTGGTTTCAATGATCCTTGCCTTTTATCGCATCTTCCTCCACTGAAGATCTTAACATCTTACTGTTTCAGCACCTTACGCTGGACTTCCCACATCTTTCTCGCAATCTGTGATACCTAACCTATGGCCATGCAAAGCCAAACAGCAAATTCGCGATCGGTAAGTTCATTTTTAAACAGGAAAAATCGGTCCTTTGAAAAATGCAAATCTTTCAGCGCGAGGTGATTTCAATCCATGTCGGACAAGCTGGAGTTCAGATGGGCAATGCCTGCTGGGAGCTGTATTGTTTGGAACATGGTATCCAGCCGGATGGCATTATGCCTGAAGACGACTCTCTTGGTAGGATCCCATCGTCTTCTATTATAGTCATTCCTGCAGAGGATAGGGACGTGTGAAGGGGTGAGTTGAAGCGCAGCCGGAACAGCATCCCCCACCAATCGTTGCCGATCCAGGATGACATCATTGGTGGAAAAGGCCGTCTTGACAGCGCTCCAATCGACGCCCCGTCACACGCCCTATCGCTGGCAAGAATCTTGATGTATTCAAATTGTTCAGAACCATTGAGAGTTCAGGTATCGAAGATGACTCATAC